ATATTAAAGAACCGTTCTTGTTAATTTGATGAAAACATTTTAAATATCCAGTGCACTCACATCAGAATAATTTACAGATTTGTTGTTAGAATAATTGATTAATCGAAAAAATAATCGTTAGATTAATCGATTAGAAAATAATCGTTTGGTACAGCACTAGTAAACACACAGAGAAACCGGGCAGCTCAGGTTTCATTTTAACAGCAAAGGGTTTGGCCGACTGTCAGAGTTTCAAATTAAAACCATAATCCCTGTAACTGTTTGATACTTAGCGCCAGAGAACCTCTCACAGAAACACAAAGATGTTTTATTTTCTCCTCATTAGTGAATCATCTGGTGAAAGAAGTCAGAGTGCTGCAAACATTACTGACTGTGAGTCAGAACAGGCTGGAKCAGTCCTGAGAGGATGAGGAGGAGGAGAAATCTCCACGTTACACACCTCTGCCTCAACAAACACATCTGGATCACCGCCAGCCTAATAGAAACAGGAAGTGCTCACACGGAGAGGCTGAGAACACTTTCGTACCAAACCTCCGTGTGACGTAAGCCCTGAAATGAGAGCAACCTACGCCCGTTTATCCCACCGAGGGTTCTGCACCAAGCCTCCGGTTCAGTTTTACACAACCGCTTCATCACATTCCATAACTGTTCGACATATAAATGATATTAAGGAGCATAAATAAACTGCATTTATTACAGCTAACTTGTTTTCAAAAAGGCTGAACATAAGATTTACACAAGATCTGGAGGTTGCCTGTTGTTATAGCAACACAACTGTTGCTCAAAACAGTGGATTTTAAGGTTGATAACAAAATTTCCTGTTTGTTAGCCTCAAACACTTCTTGCGCTTCCTCTAAATATTTTTAAAACACATCATAGATATTACAAATAGATGAAATCGAGCCTTTATCACTCAAAMCTTCCTCTCTGAAGATTATTATTAGTCACTTAGCTACCATATAATAGCTGCGGTAATTCTGCTACAATCTTTATATTTTTTTTCATTTTTATTGGTGCGTCAGATCAATGTGAACTTTGTTGCAGTAGCTCGATGGTCAGAGCAGCAGCATTAAAACCTGAGACTGCAGGTTCGAGCCCAGGTTACCTCAGGAAGTGCAAAAAAAAATGTTTGCTTACTGTGGCGACCACTAAAGAAAAACAACATGCACAAACGCTGACATTAAAGATGATTTTATCCATGACCATAGTTTCTGTTTCATAATCTTTTCAAAATAAAAAGCAGCTGCACTGAMAAGCACAAGTGTTGTCATTTCTAGAAGGCAGAAGTGGGCACTGTTCCATTAATCAGCTAACACCTAACAGGACTGATTTCTCGTTTATAGAGGATTAGCTTTGTCGCTAACCTTAAAAACCGTTAGCGGCTTCTGTTAAATTAGGTTTTCTCCAACTTTAAGTCCGCTAACAGCTAACTAACGAGCTAACATCAACAGGTTTGCGTCAGTCCCACCAGTCCAGCTGAAAGGTACGGAGCCCACGAGGGGACATGGGGAGATTTTTTTTCTTTTGCGTTCCCACGCAATACTATTGCATTACCTCACAATATTTTTGCGTTACCTCGCAAAATTGTTTTGTGTTCCCACGCAAGAGATTGTTTTGTACATGAACTGAATTAAATCCGATTTTGAAATATCTGGTTACCCAAACAGGATGTGTCGCCACAAGTTCGTGAAATTGACWHTGATGTTGYGTGGYTGCACTGTGTTAAAATATCGACATATGACATACTTCCATGTGTGGCTGTGTGATATATTCATTCTGAAGCTGAATTAAAGCAGTAGGCTAACTCACTAATGGTGAACATGTGAGTTTGTTAATAAATCGGCAGGCACAACAGTGATAAACTACTTTTGCGAGGGAACGCAAAAKGTATTGCGAGGTAACGCAATAMTTTTGCGTGGGAACGCAAAAAGAAAAAAAAATCTCCCATGTCCCCTCGCRGGCTCCGTAGAGTGGAGACGAAGCCGTGTGACGAAAGACTAAGACAGCATGGTTGCCAGATTGGACTGACAGTTTCCAGCCCAAACACAACGTAAAGCCGGTCCAACCACTAAAAAACAGCCCAAATCTCAACCTCTGGCTGTGTGCAGTATAAAAAAGTTTTGATTACTGATATAGCCTACACATGTGTAAATTATACTAATAAAAAACACACCATTWGCACACAWCTGCAYTGAATCAGTATTTACATTTTTTGTAGCTCTGAAAAGATATTGTTAGAGAGAGTGACACTCCTCTTTAGAATGAAAACTTTTAAAGAAACAGACGGGGGTGGGTAAAATGTTTGGTTCAAGCATGCACATATAAGAAAAGTCAACTAACGGCCCTTGTTTTGCAGGAGGAAGGGTTAGGTCTCCTCTCTTTGATGTGTTTACAGTTGATATTAACCAATACCATTTCCTAGTGACATTTGATATTTTGATATAATTTATTATATAATATATTTATGAATACTTTCTAAAAACCCACCAAATGTGGTTAAAAGCAACCCACATTTTAACAGCCAGCCCAAAGCTGTTTTTTTCAACCCAGTGTGTTCAAAAGAAGCCCAATTAGGTGTAAACCAGCCCAATCTGGCAACACTGTTAAACAGTCGTCTTTGCAGTTAGTGATTACTTGTTAGTGTTCGCTTCTGCAAATTTTTGGGTACATGTTTAGCATTAGGGAAGCTATATTTTTAGTTAGCGGATTACGAGTTAATGACGCTAACTTTTCRGTTAACTGTGCTAGAAGGTGATGTGAAAATGGTCCCACTAGTTCTTCAAATTCACCTCTTTTAAATACAGAAATTCATGCTAATGTCTGATGTTTATATGTGCGTGCATGAGTCTCTGTTAGCTAAATTTCCCATGTAGGTGGACCTACAACTGATGAATCTTTTGGGACAACACATTTCAAGATGGCTGCCGCAATTTAATTATGTTAGCAAGCTCATAAYTGGCTGTAACTCTGTCCATTTTATAGCTTTTGAGCTAAAATTGGACGTGGTAGTAGCTGAGAGTCATTCACAACACATGAAATGATCAGAACTCACATTGGTGGGCAGCACTAATCTAAAAATTAGTTCCACTAGTCCTAAAACACYAACTCAAAYATTTAGGTCCCCTAATTCTAAAGCACTAAAATAACCCAGTAAACCCATGAACWCTCTTCAACTGACAACATGAGTCACATGTTGTCATGTTGATCTTTTAATACTTATCACTGACATCCCACAGCTGTGTTTGAGTTCATATATTGTCATCTAGTGCAATGTTTCCCAAAGTTGGGGTCGGGACCCAAAGTGGGGTCCTGAAACATCAAGGTGGGGTCCTGAAACGATTTTCTGAGTTAATTACATTTTTACCTTAGTTGTTACAAAGGAGTGAGGTTAGTGTATTTAAAATGGATAAATGTAGTATAAAAATATTGTTACTATGCCCATGTTTTGTTGACCTGATACAAATGTTTATCAACCAAAAATAGTTGGGGCCACAGGTCTCTGTTATTTTGTGGGTCAAAAGCTGAAAAGTTTGGGAACCACTGGTCTAGTGGATAGGTGACACACATATGAACAAAATGTGTGA